CACCATTGTTAGAAAGTATTAAAAATATAGAAAATTCCAGGTAGGATCTAATTCTCAGACTTGAGTTGGAATAGTTTACAGAGGCATCTTCTAAAAGTATTTCTAGAGATTGTATAGGTTTAGCATAACTAAGATAGTAGTGCCTCCCCCACTCTCTCCTCCTCCCCCCGCCCAAAAAAAAAATATTAGGTTCATAACGCATTGGGTTCCTTATAATTAAGTGTTTTATAACTGAGTGTATTGAGGCAGAGGGAACATATTAATTCACATTTCCATGACAACTAGTTTAGACAGCTTCAGGGCCTGTTAATCTTGATATGAAACCAGATGGCTTACATAACTGAATTGTAGGGTGTCCAGCAAACGGATCCTAAATGCAGATGTCTGGCTCAGCAAAAGACTGATGTTTGTATGGCCAATGGGACTTTTTAGAACATACTACTTGGGGTATCAAAGCATTTAATTATAGATTAGAAACTAATTAAAGCTATGAAAGAAAACATGCAAGGCACAAACAAGGTGTTAGTTTGTAAAGTAATCCATGAGGAACACATGAAGAGACCCTACAAAGAGTTTCATGGGAGGTAAGCATAATCATCTGTCATAGCAATTTACAAGAAGATCCAGCTTGGTCTCAGAGTTAATCTGTCTTTCTTTCTAAATTCGTTCAAAGCTCTAATATGCTCCTCAGAGCTAATCAAGTAACCTGGAACTCGAGATATTCTAAGTTGCACAGAGATGTATGGAATATCAGCCTCTCTCTGATGAGGGATACACTTTATCTTTGAGTTGAGCAGCTTTTTAGGATTTTGATTTGTATATATGAAACAGCCCTTTAGAATTATAATAAAACATTTATTAAGATGAACCATGTGATTATGTGTGTACTTTGTTAATTGATTTAATTTTTTTCTAGTAAAGCTTCACTAAACATTTTCTTTTCTTGAAACATTTTTTTGAGAGACAATGTATAGATCGGCATTCAATTGCGCAACTGGAACTTTAAATCAAAGTTTCCACATACATAGGGTTTTTTTTTAATTCAAACCAACATATTTAAAATATAACCATTAAGTAAAAATTACACTGTGACATGTCCAAGTCCTATCTCTCCATCTCTCTCATCCCATAAAAGCAATGATAATCATCCTACCTCTTCCGATTGTTGGTATTAGCATACCTTGTGTATTGTATGGATAAGCATGTGTACCAGTAATATACACTCATAATAAAAGTTTGAAAAAATATTTTTTTTTTGTATTTTTGTGAATGAATGCTTGAGAATCCATTCTGGGTCTGATGCAATGAGATTTATAGGACATACATTTTTTTGGCATCATATAAATTGTAGGAAAACTAGTCTCAGCTGTGTAAACTTTACTAATTAGTTATCATTTTGCCACTGTTATTGCCTTTTTTTCAACAGTGTTACTCATGTAAATGTGAAAACCATTTATTTCACAAGTTTGTCCCTTTTCTCTAGAGAATGTGGTGTTGATGAGTAGCCATCAATTTCAACATGCGTATCAGAATAGTTCAACACAGTGACAGGCGAGTCAGGCAAATGAAGTGGCAAACCTATTGATCCACATGTACTGATACACTTGTCTAGGAAGTCATCACTCACGCATTGGAAGCAAAGTGGTGGGGGCATTGTCTAGAGGGAGGAAAGTGCTATTTGACTTTGTACTAATCATAGTTCAGGAAGAAAAATATATTTAAGCTTACATTTGCTACTGATATAAAATTAAAGCAGCATGAAATGAAGAATATTAACATTTAGATATGGTGTTTTAATTTGCTTTGATATTTTTCTCCTGCACATCAAGTATCTTTCTGTAGAGTTGAATTTTAAATTATGAAATTTGTGTCATCTTCTAGTTTGCTAATGTTTGTGCTAGTTTGTTGAATTGTTTTATTTGTTTTCATGTTTACAATTTTTGCCCTTTGCTGTTTTTGATGTTTGTAAAACATGTCCTGTTTTTGTGTTTTATATGGAATCTTAAATTCCATTTTCCTTTCCTGTTTGGTTGAGTTAAACAGACTCATTTCTAAACCTTCCAAACAGCTGTTGGCAGATTAATGTCTAAAACAGCAATGCTACATTTCCTTTACATATTTTAAATTCAAAATGTATAACCCCCCACCCTCATGGGTTGTACCGAATAGTTCTTGAATTTAGGATGCCACAATTGTAAATTTCTTCAATATTGTGATGGAAGTTCACAATGTAACATTTGTATCATGTGAAATGTTGAAACATCAAGTGAATCCGTAGAGGGGGTGAACTCACCTGATTCTTACTTTCTAAAATTCTCTTTGTGTTACACAATTGTTTCAAATGTTGCTTTTTATATGTTGTGCATTTCAAAAAGTGACACTAAGGAACTGAGTACTGTCTGTGGTTTTCCAGTGAACTTGATTTTGAGTCAGACTCTTGTGCACACTCAGGGTTGATATTGTTCCCTGCTTGTGGTTGTGGTGGAACCTACCACCAATTTCATGTTTTGTTTCCCCATTTTCGCATACTTTGCCCTTTTTTCATTCGGGAGTTCTTGCATACGAACTATATCCATTTGACTCCCAAATGAGTACCACCCCTGTACCCCATTAGAACGTTCACACCAACAACTTAAGTGAGAAACCACAAGGGAAGTAATTAATGAATGCTCCCCTGGGTGGCCCCCATTTCGTATAACCGAATGCACGTGGTCGACAAAAGAATGGCGGCCATCTTGTCTCCCAAACGTGGGCAGAGGCACTTGGTTATTGAGTGCCTGGAACTGTTTTCGGCTAGCCACTCGCACGAACACCAGTAAACATTAGACCGCTGCACGTTCTACTTCCTGACCAACTATGCGAACGATGTTCGGGAGACATGAATTACTGAAGAGGGGTGGCATTTGTACCCTGGAATTAAGACAATCCCTTGTATGGTGTTTGCACAGGAACCCCCTGAACAGAAACCGGTCAGGGCACCTATTTCCTTGGAATTGTTTTAGGCTAGTGCCACATGTCCAGCTGGTCAAAACTTTACCTCGATGGCATTCCCATTTCACCAAACCGATCTAAGTGATATTTGGTTATGTTATACACTCAGATGGGGGCTATCCGGCTATGTAACTTTTGTGGTTCCTAGTTATGGTGGGGGCACTTTAGGGGTTCTGCATATTTTGTGTAGATTTTCTGTATGCAATTATCTCTCAGGCACAAAGGATCCTGTGAATGAAAACCCTGTATTCTTGTATTAAAGACCCCATGTAGGGGTCTGGGCATTAAAGCTGTGTGTGGTCTGGAATAAATCAATTGACTCCCAGAACTATGTTTTGTGTGGTTACTGGGGAAATGGGTGTCTGCTTATTTTAATGGCTCTAGAGTGGCTGAATGAAGGAATTAGCAGAGGTAACCAGTCGGGTTACCAGTGCTCCTCTATAATGGTTTTGTTTATAATATGTTACAAGTTAGTTCATTAACTATTGATCTACCCTGGTCTATTGTAAGTGTTATTATTGTGAAATGGAAGTGTCTAGGAGCAAGAATAAAATAGAACATGCATACTAACTTAGCAGGGTTGCCAAGTGCTGAAGCGTGTAATGTGTAATTTATTATCCATTCCATCACTCGCTGCATAATTCCAACCTCCCTCTAGAAGAAATCTCAGCACAAGAACTGAGCTTTTGGAACATCACAAAATGTGTTTCCTTGGCTGAGCAGCTGGACACAAGTCTCACATCACTAAGAGCAATGACATGCTTTAGCAGGGATGGCATAAAGCACCTTTCCACTGGCCTCTGGAACAGTGGAAATGTGAATCGTGCTTCACTTTCTGACAGTCTGATTGAATAATCTAGGTGTGGCGTATGCCAGGAGAATGCTAGAACTGGAATAAGTAGTGCTTGCTGTAAATTTTGGTGGGAAAGGGATTTGTTATAGCAAAGAGTTATCAAAATGATGACATTTTAGACAATTGGTTGTTTTCAACAATAATTGGGGAAGGTCCTTTTTTTGTTTCAGCATGACTGTGCCCTTGCACACAGAACAACGTTGATGAGACATGGTTTGGCAAGTTTGGTGTAGAGGAATTCAAGTGGCCTGTATATCAACCTCACCGAACACTTTTGCATAGAATTGTAGAGATGATTGCAAACCAGACTTTGTCCAACATTGGCACCTAGCCTTACAAATGCTCCTTTGTCTGTATGGGCACAAATTCCCACTGTACAGTCCAAAATCGGAGGCAGCTGTTATAGCTGCATAGTGTAGAGCAGGCTCATATTAAAACTGTAAGTTTGGAATGGAATGTCCAGCAGCTGTGTGTTGTAGGTGTCCACATACATTTGGCCATATAGTGTAATAGGTCTGATTTCCTCCATGTCACTACAATTCAGATCTCTCTACCAGCTCTGAATAGATTAAATCCACAGCTCACATCCCTTCTGTAGTTCTGTGGGACTGTGCTATGACACCTTTCCCATGATGGAGAGGAGATAGAGTATCACTGATTTGCTTAGCTTGTTTTATAAAGATCTTGATTAGAGATTAATTTTATTATAAACTGCAATTCATTCAAATTTAGGCCGATCCTAAACTCCAGGTTGAAAGTGTGCTGGTTCATGCAATGGGTGGACATAGTCATTTTAATTTGTGATGAGGATTTCCATCTACAGTGCTAATAAAAGTTGTTTTAAAGGGACACTATAGTCACCTGAACAACTTCAACTTAATGAGGTTGTTCAGGTGAGAACTATAGCTCCCAGCAGCCTCTCTCATGTAAACACTGTGTTTTCTGAGAAAATACAGTGTTTACATTGAAAGCTAGGAACACCTCCAGTTGCAGTCACTGAGAGTGAACCAGAGGGACTTCGGAGTTGATAGAGGCATAATATGCCTCCATTCACTCAGATCTGCTGTCAGCAGAGCACAGGGCAGCACTGTGCACAGCATCCTGTGATTCAGTATCTCCTCCCACTGCATTCAGACACTGAACTTTTCTCATAGAGATTCATTGATTCAATTCATCTCTATGAGGAGATGCTGATTGGCCAGGGCTGTGTTTGAATCATGCTGACTCTGCCCCTGATCTGCCTCTTTGTCAGTCTCAGCCAATCCTATGGGGAAGCACTGTGATTGAATCAGGCTACCACATGTCAGCAGACTGCTTGTTTTTCTGAGTCTAACAGCATGCAGATTTACAGCTTCAGGCTTGAATACAGTAAGATTTTACTATATTTATGGAGGCATGAGGGGCCCAGGGGGTCTAGATGGTGGTTTTAACACTATAGAGTCAGGAATACATGTTTGTGTTCCTGACCTTATAGTGATCCTTTAAGGGAAAAAAAGAAAATTGATGGCTAGGAGGAAATCAGTAAATGTAGACTTTATTCACAGATGAAATCAGAATAGACCAATTGAGGGGGAAAAAGTAGCAGTAAAAGCAAAGTAGTAAAAAATAATCTATATTTATATATTTATATATTTAGTAAATATAGGTGTTTTTTCAATTGCTCTGTCTTTCCCTGTATTGGTTACTTTTTGTCGCTTAATCTGTGAACCACATGACAGCAAAATGTGCAATATATACATTATTTAGCAAAACACTTATTGGCCCATTTTTGTGCCTTTTTGGTTTGTCAGATTTACTTTCCAGAATCATTTGATTTATTTTCCAGAATTGTTTTTGGTGGGCAAAATTTGGATGAGCAGAACCACCATATAACTTAATTAGGCCATCCCTCAAGTTAATTTTTAAATACCATAATATCACTATTAATCTTTGTAAATTTTCCCACAATTTTCCTGATAATTATAACTAACTGCAAAAGAGCACAGACGGGCTTCAAGACATTGTGCTTTTCTGCAGGCGCACTTAGCAACAGGACATACACACAGTTTTTGTAAGCCAAAGCATAGGTAATGATCCAAATGGACCAAAGACCAATCAACCATGGCTGTACCTCTTGATTTTCACTAAAATGGTGCATGTTCTGGTGAACTAGTTAAATTATTTCTGCCAGTATAGATCAATGCTAGAGCATAGACCTATTTCATGGGATACGTGCAGCAATTTATATTCCCATGCCATCTATACTTAATAAATTTTGCTGACAAAATGTGTGCCAACAAAAACAACTCAAATCAAAATGGAAAAAATAAAAAATGGATAATTACAATCAATAAAAAAGATTGTATAGGGAAGAATATATACAGACATATCTTTAAGGCATAACAAAAATGTATTATGGAAAAAAATATATATTATGAGATAAATAATAGTTTAGAGAGTATCATTTGGAAATAGCCCCAGAAATTTTAATTCCTAGATAAGATAAAGTGCTGCATGCCTTTTGAAATGGGAAATATGTTCCTACCTCCTTCCTCTTGACAGCAGAGGCTACTACACTTCTATATTCTGATTGTTTTCATTTACAGAAAAAATGGAAAGCAGACTATATTGATCCATTTTTATTATTAAAGCATATAATGATTGAGTTGGATTAGTTAATGAAAATAGTAAACAGTAGAGAAGCCAGGCAACTTGCACAAATTTGAATTTTTATAAGGACTGAGATGGTCCTGTAGCTCTTGCATTGCTCTGGATCCTTGCCGAATTTGTTTTTAAGGTAATATAAGCCTCAAGGTCTGTGGGAGATGTCATGTCCCTTTGCTAGTAAGTTGTAGACCACCAGGAAGTGTGGGGATAATTGAGTTATAAAACTCCAGTAATACATGGTGGTGAGTCCATCTGGACGTAGTCTATTATTAAGAGGGGTCGAATTCAAGGCCAACATAAGCTCTATGGTTATCTAGTATCTACTGGTGACAGTGTATTGGACAGATGTTTCTGTAAGTATGTCACAAGTGTATCCTGGTCAGGTCTTATGTTTATTTTGTGTGATGAGATGTTATTGAAGGTGCAGAAGCTGTAGAAGCTGTGACGGAACCAGCCTCGCCACTGTCCACTGGAGGAGCCAGGTTGTTCGCCTGCTCTCTTTAGACTATGGCCCGGCATTTAAAACCTTTTATTTTCCCGGCAGAAAGGCTTATTCGTGCCTTTCTGCCGGGGTGTTCGGTAGATTCAATCTACCAAACAAAGTACCGAACGATCGACCACCTGGGAACTGGAGTGTGCCGTCAATTGACCGCCAGAAGCTGCGGTTAACTGCAGCTTAATTGACGAACGCTGGGTGGCCTTTGTTCGTTTGCTGAACATGTGGCAGCGGACATTTTAACTCCCGAATGGCCAGCGGTGTTCAGCGCCCAAACTATGGAACTGGAAACGGACACTTATTTGCGCGAACAACGCTGAGCCGCCAGCCTCCTTACCTCTGCATTCGGTAGTGTAACCGAATGCCTGTTCATTCGCTAGTTTAACCGTATGAACAGCATCACCCCAGATAGCCATGCCATGGAGCCTATTCGTGTAACGAAAGACTATGGAAAAGACTTTGGCTCCATGGCGATTGAACTGTATGTATGTGATCTGAGCGCCATTCGGTAGTGATGTGTGCTCAGATCTAAGCTATCTGGGCATAGGTAGAATGTATATGTTTTGTGTAGTAAGTGTAACATTGGGTATTTTAATGTCTTTTATTGTCCTCTGTCTGCCATGTGGTTAATGGAGTTTTACCTCTGTCCTTGGAAATAATTGCATTACTTCCCAATTATCTCCAGGACCGAGAGGAGGGATTGTGATGCATTGTGGGATGGTAAGATTGTGATTGGTCAATGTCCAATATGTTTCCCAGTCTTCCACCTGGTCCCCTAGGGGAGTGTCCACCAGATGGAAGACCTGCATAAAAGCCGGGCAGGTAGCCCCAGTAAATCAGATTCTGCCTGATCCTCAAAACGAAGTGTTGTCTCGTTATTGGGGGAATTGGATTGCATGCTGATTGCCAGGAGTGTAAGCTGATTGTATGCTTTTCCTGTTCGGCTGTTTCCAGTGTTCGTGTGTTTCCTGTTCGGGAGTTGGAGGATTCTAGTAGTTTGCAGTTCGGGAGATTGGTGCTTGCAGTAGCTGCCTGTGCATCTGAAAGGGGAATATCACCTAAATGGTTTTTAACCTCTTGTGTGCAAAATGGTCCGTTACAGAAGGTTTGTAAGGCTTTTGCAATATCTGAGGTAGATTGGTGCAAGATACCATCCTTGGACTGGATTTTGAGTATGTAAGTGAATTGCTGATGTTGGTTAAGAGTTTCTGCCAGAGGTTGACTGCTCTTATTTGCCTGACTATACCATTAGGCTTTACTTATAAATAGTGCATGTTTGGCACCATAATTTAGGAGATATTTGAGTTCAGTGTGAGTCTTATTTAGTTCTTGGAGTACATAGGGGAGAAGAAATTGTCTTGTTTTTCCAAACTCCTTAAAGTAAGCACACAAGTTTAAATATTGTTATGCACTCTTTTTAAAATTCTGAGCAAAGAGCTGAAGTGCCCCTTACCACGATCTTATGTGCCAACGAAATTAGCATTAATGATATCATAGCCTTTGTGCTTTCTTAATAAACGATGCATGAGAGCATCTCCTACCCTAGTATAGGTTTTAGGCAAATTTAGAATGTGTTCATTTAGATGGCACATCAATTGTGTGCGACAAGGTGTGTTAAATGATAGGGTCATTTTGATCATACCATGGTCATAACAGGTGATCGGGTGGATGGCTGTAGGAGATGGAGGAATCTATGTGACAGTAGAAAAAGTTTATTAGTAAATTAGGCTGCCAGGCGGGTGAATAAAATCCCAAACATGGTATTGAATCGTACTAGTTGTATGTGTCTGTCTAATAATTCGGAGATGTGCAATTGGTGTCTCAACCTGCGTCTTTGGTTTGCGTCATAGGACAAGGACACTGAAGAGTTGTATAATCTGTGATGTTTTGTAGAAATAAGCCAATAATTCCTGTAAAACAAAGTACTAACTTTAATAATACATACATAGCAGGATCTTCATATTGCAGCCTTGTTACACAGGGTTTCTGCAGCCGCCATTTCAAATCCCTGGAACATTCCACCAACTGCCAACAGGAACAAGAAGTAAAGAGTCACAAGAAAGGAAGTGCATCATTCACAGCCAAACAGCCCAACTGCCCAATGCCCATACATCACAATACATACACTCATACACTCACACACTCATACACAGCCCAACCGCCCATGCATCACATCTCCTTCCTTTCTCAACAAAAGAAAGAAAACAAAACAAAATAGTAAAAAGTCAACAATAATAAAAGAACAATTTAAAAATGTGTCCTTAATCTGCATCATTCTGTCCATCATCTTCAAGATCTACAATCTTTTTTTCAGGACAGCTTATTCTATTCCTACTAGGATACCATTTACTCCTTCTCAATGTCGAGTTTCTCTGACTATAGTCCCTTAATGGATCTTCTGGTTGCCAGCGGTTTGTGGCCCTTCTCCCTCTTGTTGAATGGACAGTATTTTCATGGTTACTTGAACTGTGGCTTGGCAGTTCTTGTTCCTGAGTTTCATGGGGTATTCCTCCAAATCAGCCCCTATTACATCATGAGCCTCTGTACCAGGTGTATTGCAGACTTCAGAAATGTCATCATGCCAAACTCCATGCCAGATATCAGTGTCTGGTTGCATGAGTGGCCCTACCCACTTTGATAGGTTGTCTGTTATACGTGGTCGAAGTTGATTTGTATGTCTCCGTGTGCACACGTGCGCCGGCCCCAGAACTTCCTTTATCACTGCTTCTTTCCAACGATTCTCCTGATGATATACACATATCCAAACAGAATCCCCTGTCTGGTAACAATGGCCGGCTTTTCCGACTTGCATCTTCGATTGTTGCTGGATGACCCATTGTTGAATCTCGGGTTTTAGCAGATCCAACTTTGTCCTGAGTTCACGGCCTAACATAAGGCATGCTGGAGGTTTTCCAGTGGTTGGATGAGGTGTATTTCGATACTGTAGAAGGAACTCAGACAAATTATGTTCAGGTCTCTTTCCTTCTGCTTTCAGACTTCTCAGAATACCCTTTAACGTTTGAACAAAACGTTCTGCTTGACCATTAGTAGCAGGATAATACGGTGCTGTACGATGATGCTGAATACCATTTTCCTTGAGAAAAGCCTGAGATTGTCCAGAAACAAACTGCGGTCAATTATCTGAAACAAGCACTCTGGGCAAGCCAAATGTTGCAAATAGTTTCTGTAATACTTTAACAGTAGCTTCTGCAGGGGTCTGTGACATG